AAAAGGGTTAGTTTACCTAGCTCTAGAGAGAGTTTTGTAAGGACCTTTTGAGTACAATAAACCTGTTGTGTGCCTACTTGAGTCGTCACTTGGAGTACCTCCCGCATTGCTAAAAGCGAGTGCCTCAACGTAACCCAAGACCCAACTTACAGTGGGATAAAGCCCATTTTACATATAGCCTGCAAAGTACTTAAAGCATCAAGTTGTGATCAAGCATTGTTGTCTATAAATACACACGAGGCGGCGATTCCCAGGGGCCAAGGAACCTTGGATCCTATTGTTATCGTTGATGATTCCTCCCGTGGGGGCCTGACGCGGGGCGCCCTGTTTCCCTGCCGCCAAAAGTAAATACCACTTCTGAAAGAATTGTTATCCACGACATGGAGTCCTTAGAGCTTTTCTTTAGCTTTGCTGTATCTTTTGACTTATATAAACTCATGATCAAATTCTCGAACGTTTTGTTCGATAAAATGTTCATATCATTTAAACTGTATTTTTACATCCATGTTAAAATTGATTACTCTTATTCGCCTTGATTATAGTTTTGAAATGAAACCCAGAGATTGCTAAGTTTTTCTTCATTTCTTTATCAATTCTATACGGATTGTCATTCATCCTCTTCAATTGTTGACATTGACTATATTTAGATTTAATAATTATTTGATAATCAATATCAATCCATTTGTTAGCTTTTACATCATCAAGAACGAAAGTGGAACGTTCGAGTAGGATGTTGGAGTTTCAAAGGTGTTCCGTTGAATCCGGGCAAGTGTTTGGCAACAGCTAGTATCTGACTGGTCTACCTGGAATTTCAAGAGATTTTTGTTGTGCTGTTTACTTGAAGACTAGTAATGTCTAGATATGAGAGCTGTACACATCTTCAATAACGACAATTGAACAGCTCGGTGAAAGCCGCCACATTACATCGAGTACATTGGATTCGGGCGTAAACAAGCACTCAGCACCCACCCCCACCCCCATCAAATAATAAATCCACTGAAAAATGATTATTCAAACCCTGTATCTTTGCTAATTCCTGAGCTGATCTCTGATTGGCTGGCTGCTCCCTAAGGATTTTGGTGACGTCATATATTAGCATAGAACTTCACCGAATAGACTACCCCAATTAGATATTATATATCTATAAGTGTCCTCATAGTACGATGGTCTAAGAGGGTAGCTAAAGGTATGCTCTAGTGGGCGGCTACCCCCTCACTCCCTGGCCTTTTGGTTAAGACTAAGTTTTATGTTCACTCGGGATAGCGTGGAAGAGCCGAAATCTCTAACCGTAACGTAAGCCGATTCGCCGCCTCAGCTTCATAGAATGTCTCGGGGGAATCGTCCCATCTTTTTAGTTTTTTATTTTCA